TGAATCCCAAAGCACTTTACATATAGCAGGAATGAGCTGTGAGAATCGGGTTACACCAGGGTACGTCAGTCAGGAAGGTCTTAAAGATATCCAGGGATCTTGATAAAACAATGCATGAAAAGACAACTGTCCCCAGGACTGTATCTTTGTCAAAACGCTAAAGGGGGCGCTATCTCTGTTGTTCTTCATCTCTGTATACACAAGGGCAGCCCACAGAATCATGTCAATCAGGCCACTGCCTCCTCACAATCTGCATTCAGTTTCACGACCGTCCACAATCAGAATCCAACCCTACGCAACTCCTGCAAAGGACCCACATTGTTCCTCATCAGACTCCAGTGCTCTCCAATTCCTGCAAACGCCGTGGCATTAACTAATCAACCAATCAGACCTTTCCTGCATCACCGCACCCACTACCTCCCGGAATACTTATGCCCTCACCATCTTCGCCTCAATGTTCAGTACTGGTTTTCACCAAGTGGAGCTCCTCAGCTCCGTCTTGAGATTTTCCTGTATTACTTGGCTTCCTGACCAGCGAGCCTGTCTTTGACCACGGCTCTTGAACTGCGGTTTGGATAAGTCCACTCGGACTTTCCTTCTAACTCCCCTAACTCTCTGGAGATCTACTGGATGAGTCACCACATGGGGTCCTATATTTCATCTGGCTAGTGTCGTAACAGGTAGAAGATCCACGCTCACTCGGCACAGTTAGTTAGATTTCCTTTAATTCAGATCCTACTTTTACTGGATGAGTCACTCACAACTTGATTGCAGGAGTCAGGGGGTGTTAAGTGGAGAGTGGTTTGTGGCGCCTGATAAATCTCTTTAAACTTCTTGATATCTTCGGGATGCTTCCAGAATAAACAGGAGGCATCCCCTGATTTATGCCTGACATTGATAATTATGCAGGCAGGAGCAGAAGATTAAATGTGTGATTTGGACCCTTCAGTTCTTTACACTCGCCTGCACTGTACTGTTCTCCATTGGTGTTTCTCGAATGGGTTAATGGGGAAAATGCATGTGTATGGAAACATGTATTCATGATGCATATGGTCACCTCCACAATTACTTTATTAGTGGTTCAATAGAATCAATCAAATTGACATTTCTTAAATTATAAATGTATTCCCTGAAAAATAAAGTTTACATTTTAAATTTACACAATTACCCGCACCCCCCAGCAGAGCAAAACACTTAACTGGACTCCGCTGATCTGATGACGGTCCCAGAACACAGATGTTTCTGGCTCCTGGAGTTTGTTATACTTTCTGTACAGAACATACCCTCCCCTGGCAAGGACAACAGCACTGAGCTTTTTTCTGTCTGTTTTTACATTACAGAACACATTGCGAGGGATTCAATACCATTCCTTCAGACAGAATCCTTCCAGCTCCTTGATTCCTTCTGTCTGTGCTTATGGAGAATCACTTCAATTCAAACCACAGGTTTTTTAATAGGGATTATGTCATAAATTTTGTTTTTGTTATCAATTAACCACTTTTTGGATTTTATTGTGTGCTTGAGGTAGTCGTCCTGGTAGACGATCCACTTGCAGCCAAATTCAAGTCTCCTGGCAGTCGGCAACCAGGTTTTTAGATAAATAGTCCTGGTACCTGGTAGAGGTCATGATGCTGATGATGTTAAGGGGCCCATGATTGGTGGACCAGAACAGACCCATAACCATACAGTATTTTACAGTAGGTATGATGTTCTTCTCTGCACACATCCTTCTTTCAAGGCTACCACTCACCCTTCGCAGGTGTGGCCAAAGAGCTCCATTTTCATCTCATTGGACTGGCATGAAGGTGGCGTCTAATTTTTTATTTGAACACCTTTTGACCACAAGATGCAACCAAGTTCTGTCATGTTCCTGCTGTGTGTAGGCTCTTTCCCAAAAGCTCCTCCTCATTGTGGGAGGAAAGACGACAACTGTTCCAGTGGTCTGAAACTTTTAAATGTCCTAAAAGTGCTACAGTTTGTGGTGTAATTAGTTAATTCATTTTTTGTAACTCACCGAGAGATTTAATTAGGTAAACAACCATTTTCACTTGTGCATTCTTTGCCTCTCCCCATGGTGATGGATGACAAAGACATTTTAAATGTATGTTTCCTGATTTCTATACTCCAGTGAAACTACGATCTATGAAAGACCTCACAATACTTCCTTAAGACTGAGACAAACACTAAAAATAGAATGTTATTGTGATTTAATTTTGTTTCATTGTATTTAGAAGGTGCCAATAATTTTGACGTGCTTTTGAGAACTAAAATTCTTGCTTTATAACACAAAATACTATTTCTCCAAGCAACTGCAATAAATACAAGAAATACAGTTTTTCCATATTTTTGAGCACAAAATACTGCCCGTTACCTGTGTTTATATTGTGTGGTCTGTTTTCCACATCTTAATCAAGGGTGCCAACAATTCTAAGGTGACTGTATATACAGAACATGTGTGCATGTATAAATTCGTGATCTCCACCCCCTGATTTTTCTTCCTCTGTGAATGCCTGTGGGGGTTGAGGGGCTACTGAAATCCTCAGCTGCTGAGAAGACTGATCAGCGCTGCCGGTGTGGGAGCAAGGCATGACGCAGCTGAGGAAATCCCCCAGGCTCTCTCCCACCAGAGCCAGACAAACGCTGCGCTGGACCCCGCGGGCCTGTGGGCTGTCCTAAAACCAGGGTGTTTCTGGCTTCTGGCGATTCAGAAGGCCAATTAAAAGAAAATTCAATAAGCTCACGCCTGCCCCTTCTCTCCTTCCTTCACCTCCCACCCTTGCTGTAACTCGTGCACCAGAGCTGAAGCCCTTTTGCCCCCCTTTCCACCTGCATTATTACTGATATCCAGCAACTACAGTAATGGAGACAAGTAGCTGGATTGTGGCAAATGGCTGCAGCGCATTTCCACTGTAACCTGGGAGCGTGAACATGGCTGGAGATTTGCTGATGTCCTGCATGAATCCAGGGAGAGTGGCCAAGAGCATCAGCCAAGCGATGGAACTGGAACTTTCCTTGGCAATGTGGGCGTTGTTGTAAAATGAACTATGACATATCAAATGAATCATACCTCTGCTCATACCTCCACAGCTGCCTACGTTCAGACATTTTAAAGAACTGCATCTGTTCGATATTTTATCACAGGAACCTGCCGCTCCGGAGTGTGAATGGAAGACGGTTCCAGGAATCACCCTGTTCCTCCCCTGCCTGTTTAACGAAAGCAGCCTGTTCTCTTCTCACCAGCACGTGGCAGCAGGACCCTGGCCTGCCAGATCACAGGGCCAAGGAGTGGTCACAGCCAGACCGACCGAGGGCACCTGCAGGCCCCTAGCTGCAGGCTGGACTGAAAGACAGTCTATCTCAAGTTTATTAAGCTGCAGTTTAATGAACCTGCACAGACAGTCATGGAGCCATGGAAGCATGGAACATGCCAGCCTGTTTGCTTTCCCATCACCGCAGCTTGTGCTGCAGGTAAAACTGCAGGGCAGCAGGATCTGTCATCTCCTCAACACCCCCACCGCAGGTCCAGGCATCACAGTGCCAGTGTGGACAATGAGCCCTACATGGCACTCCTGTCCACTGCCCTACAAAGGCTGGAGTCTCCGCCTCAGCAAACCCCATGAAAACCAAGGGAAAAGATGGTTCCTTGTGTTGTTGTTTTTTTAATTTTCATTCCATGCCACTATCACATGTGTATTTCCCAGGTTTTGGATAATAAAGGTCTTCTAACTCAATAGGTTCTAGCTGGTTTATGATATTGCTACTGGCAGAGCTGGTCTTCAGCGTGGTTTCTGCAGGCGTGTTACGTTAAGGGCTAAAACGCTGGTGCCCAACCTGTCTCAGGAGAGCGTAAGGGTCTACAAACAGACAGGCTGCAGACACACTGTTTCATTAGAGAAGCTCTTGAGTTCTAAAGCTCCAGCCAGTCCTGACGTAACATTTTGGAAACAAGCATGTCTGGTTACTTTTTTATTATTACTCCCTATGTCTTTCTTGTCTTCCTGATTAGCCCTCCCTACATATATGTTGTGTGTGAGAGATGGATTAAAAAGCAGGCATTATGCACTGCTGGAAATATGTTCAGACTATGATGGAGTTTCATGAAAAAAGACAATATTCACTGAGTTTGGATAAAGCTCCATTGGTGGCATGGACACCATTCTTGTGTTTCTACACCTTCTAAACAGTACAGTATGAGCTCATTCTGATATTTGCACCTTGAACGATGCAAAGGGGTTGGCAAAGCATTCCAGTGATGCACAGAATACAATTAGCACCATGTCAATTTTGTTGGACAAAATGAAGCAATTGATAGGAATACAGAAGCTGGAAAACTAGCCGAAAAAAATCACCTTCCAGAAAAATAATTTGTATTTGACACACTGAAAATTGGAGACACATCAATCCTTCGAAACACGACAGGCTGATAATAATAATATCAACTTTTGTGTTACTTACATTTTATAGTATATTTATAGTACTTACAGCAAAAGGCAGGTTAGGTGCACTTACACATAAGATAAGATTACATTATTGGCCGTATACAGTACAATTTCTTGCATGAGGGATTTGTCTTTTCAAATACCCCAGTTTGCTCTCCATGAGACACACAGACAGGGAGAGAAGCTGGGGGTCAGAGCGCAGGGGCAGCCATTTATACGGCACCCCTGGAGCAGTTGGGGTTAAGGGCCTTGCTCAGGGGCCCAACGGAGTAGGATTCCTCTGCCGCAACCAGCAACCTTCCAGCCACAGGTGCAGATCCTTAGTCACAGTGCCACTGGTCCACCCCATCAAAAAAGATTAATATGGACATTCTTTCATATCCATCTTTTTTATTTATAAACACATCATTTTCAATTGATCTAAATAGCTCACTTAAAAACCTCATCTCCAAGTAACTTCAGCATACTTCATCAGAAACACTGGGGTCACAGCTCATTAGCATGACTGGACCAGGGCTGGAGGATCTTTGCGGCCGTCATGAGAATGAGAGCACACCCTACCTCTTCTGTCCCGTATGGCCAAGTTCTGCCCCTTCTTCAGCACGATGTCCAGCTGGAACATTCCTGGATTCGCCCTTGATGGATCCGCATTACTTGGCCCAAATCTACCGATGCCCTGCAGGAGAAGAGAAGATGGGAAAATGCAGATTTCAGAATGAGGGGTTACATCACCGCCACCAGCCCACACGAGCCTCGCTACAGTCACGCAGCTGACGCAGCCAGAATCGTTTTCACTCTGGAATTCGAATGTTCCTGCTCTTCAAAGTCACCTGTCAGCTCATGAGTGTGAACCAATGAAGACATTGACACCGACGACCCCTGATGCCCAGTGATGCCCACTGACAGCCCCTGACGCTCAGACCGAGCTCCCGTGCCTCTGCTGGGTCTCAGGTGTTCCCTTGACCATGTGTGTTGTTACAAGCTAAGTTACAATGAATCGATTATTACTTCTGTCACTGACAGAAACCAAAGAGGATTTAAATCACAGATGAGGACTAATGAGGCTTCAAGGACCTATGGGTCACACCTGCGTTTAATGCATCTTTCCATGCGAACTGTATGACTGAGTACAAGTGCTCACATGCTTTTACTTTGTTCCACACCCTTAACTGAGCCACAAAGCATCACTGTTTTCCCAGTTAGAGCCTTTACACCACATATCACTAATCGGTAGGAAACAGTCATGGGAGAAAGACAAGTTCGAACTGCCCTGTTGTTGACGCTGCCTGAGTGACTGAGTTAGACTGACCTCCTGTGTCCTGGACCCTGCTCCTGTATCCCCACTCAGATCCAGCTTCCCGGCTCTGTGCCCTCTTCAGCGATGGAACCTGGTTCAGTGTCTGTAGGCTGCTGCCACACCTCTGCAACAGAAGTACCTGGGGCTCCTGGCCAGCTTTCCCACCTACAGTCCTGTCACCTCTTCCCACAGAATTCTGGAACAGCTGGTGGCAGCTCAATCACAGCCTCATCTCGCGTCTAATGAGCTCATCCAACCCTTTCATCTGGGTTCGGTTTAGACAGAGTCGCAGCACTGGAACAGCCTCATTAACACAGATAATGTTTTGCTTGTGGCTTCTGAGTGTGGGTCACTTACAGAATTTTCTCCTTCTGAATTTAACTGCAACTAAACAATAAGTGCAAATAACTGAGGAATGATCCAAAAGAGAACTTCTTTACTGACTGCCTAAGATCTCTGCTTAAGTTCAGGTCCTGCAGTCCAAGGCCAAACTGAGAGATTAGTTCTTATGGGTAATGTGGGTCAGCAGAAAACATAACATAGGATGATTGACACTCACAGACCAATAACTATAAAAGTGGCAGATGTTTCAATTACAAGTAATATAATATATAAGTAATATAGATTTACTATATTTATAGTGTGTAAACTATATAATTTAGTTTACACACTATATAACGTGCGAAGACGTGATCTTAGTGACCTATGGCACTGTGTAAGAATAGTGAGGCGTTTCACGGGGGCTGTCAAGAATCTGTTTGTGTTGTTCTTTGACACAGCCCTCTTGCAGGGAACTCTGGAGCTCTCCCAGGCTGGTGCACCCGAGAGACGCGTCAAGATCGTAATCCCTCCTCTTAAGGGCGCTCCGGCTCTTTCATGCTGATTGCTGATAATGATTTCATGCACCTGCCCCTCCTTATTTAAGCTCCTTGCTACTCCGGGCTCTACATTGGAAGATGGACGCTGGAGGCCCGTCTAACATCAAGTCGCCCTACATCTGCGGCTTGAGGGCATAGGCCTCCTATCGGCGTCCTGGCCCAGCTGAGTCCGGGGCTCGGAGCGCCTGGTCTCGTCATCCTGTTTTAATTTCCCTGTCCCTGTACTGGATCCCGTTCCAGTTTTTAACTTTGTCTTGTTTTCGTCGCAGATGGATCAACCAGATTTGGACCGTGAACTTCGCTCTGGTCTTTCCCCTGGACTGCCATGGCCACGCCCCCCCACGCTCCGGTTCACTGTTGTCATGCCCCCCTGTCTTTCAACCTGCCCTGATCCTCGTCGTCTCCTCCCGGTTCTCCTTTTCCACTCAATTCCAGATTATACCGTCTGCATAGGGTCCTGGACTTCTCCTACAAGACGAGCCCAACCAGACACAGAATCTGAGGTCGCTCAGCTCAGTGCTGGTTTTTTTAAGGCTGGCGGCTGATAGCTGCAAAAGCCGATGACAGGAGTCAGACAGATAATGTTAGAATATAGGAAAGGTTGTAAATGGGAGCACCTGACTGGGTGGCTTGTTCCAGACTCCCACACCCTTGGAATACAGCAGTGCCTCTTGCTCTCAGTTTAAAGTGCATTCCCTCAGAGTTTCTATGAATTTTAATGTTCATTCTGAAGTCCACTGGACTCACTTAGTCTTTGCCTTTAGGGGTTTTGAATACTTGTATCAGGTCCCCTTGTAGTCTTCTCTGTTCAAGACTAAAGAGATTCAGATCCTTCAGCCTGTCAGTGTAGGGCATTGCCGGAAGCCACGGTATGTATGGTTTCTCCTCTCTGTACTGAATCCAGAGTTGTAATATTGTTTTACCATACCATGATGACAAAGCAGATCTGTCTTTCCACAAGACAAAGGGATTTTTTAAAGAAAAATGTAAAGCTATTATGCAGATACAACAGCAACACCTCGGGGGACAGTTTCCTGCATATGCCAGACAGATTACATAAGGATGCCACCAAATTTAGCAAACTGTCCATCTTACACATTCAGTACCTGATGTACCTTCACAGATTTCTCCACTGACACCCTTGCAGAACAACTGAAACTGCCTCCTTGCTCCAGAACCCCTTTACCCTGCTTCCACATCCCACAGGCTTGCAGGGAGAGTGCAGACTCCCTGTGATGGACTCACCCTCACTGACTGCTCTGGCTGAGCAGCTGCGTGTCAGGAAGAAATCAGTATTTAAGAGAAGGCAAGCTCTGTGCGTTAGCCCCGCTCCTGCAGGCTCTTCGAAACCTTCCAAAATAACTGGCTTGATGAGTCAGAGAGAATTCCAGCCAAACAGAGCAGGATTGGTGGTGCTTTAAGACATGATTGTGTACAGCACACCGTCTCAGGGTCGATAGGGATGGTGAACCGTGCTTCGCACAATCAGAGGCGACAGGGGACCTTAAAAAAAATCTCTAAACTGCCTGTCTGGACATTGGAGAGATTTAGTGAAATATGCCATTAAGAAAAGCACCATCTTTCCTCCAGGAGAGTTATTGATAACCTTGTTAACAGGACATAATTTTCCTCTAGTTTAAGTGAATTACAGCACTTCTATTGCTCCTGTTGGTGTTTATGAAGTTAATTTTTCTGTACCCATTAATTAAATATCAGGGTGCACATGGGGATCGGTAGCTGAACTGTCTTCTCGCTCTGTTGTTTTATTTCCCCTTCGCAAATCAATGTGCACCAACCTAGAGATCATTTCACCCATTTAATCCACAGTTCTCTGAGTCCTGCAGTCCCATTTGTCTGGGGTAAAATGTTTTTAAAATTTCAAACTGGCCTCAATCAAGCATATTGGGAAGGCAAACATTCTTTCTCAATAGTCGTTTGGCAAGAGTCTATTCTCTCTATAGCAGTTTACAGAAATTATAACTGTACTGTTATAACTTTGTACTGTTGAATTATAATTACTGTACTGTACTTTTCACATACAGGTTTGATCGTACTTTGACCGTACTTTGATCAATGTTACAATCAGCTCTGTTCCCATTTGGGATTTGAACCTGCAGTCTCCAGGTCTGGAGTCCCAGAACCTGAACCATTACTGTTAACTGGCTGTTGCAGTAAGTTGTGTAATTTGTTTGTTCCACTCCTACCAGCACCATCAGATGATATTTCCATGAAATAACACCTAATATTTACCTAGACCCTTCTGCAAAAGGCTCCATTCACTTCATATTCAAACCAGACCTAAGGAGAAGTGCCAAATCCTGTGTTCACAACATTTGCAGACATAAATGTGTTTGCAATTAAAAAGAACATATAAACAAAAAATAGTTATCAGCATCCTCATAGAACAGCTGTAAATAATGCACTTCTCTATAGGAAACCAATACCCATTGAACTTGCTCCACATGCCAGTGTGTTCAGATTCAATCCTGTAGATAGGTGTAGCTTTTTCCCCTTCCCAGTCAGCAGCTGGGAGAATGATGGCTTAAAAGAACCCATTTAGTTGATGCATTAACTCTATTAAAAATTTGGGAAGCAGTTCCTACCTGCTCATTCATGAAGAAAGTCGTCAGAGCTGATTGGCATCGTGCACTGTCATGAGCTCAGCTGGTGTGATCTACACAAGCTATTCATTCATGAAAGACAGCAGGCTGGGCCTCAGTTCAAGAGCTTAGCTGAGGAGAGCACTGCACTGCAACAAGTGGGCAGCTTCATTCACCCAGCACCAGGCCGACAGAGCTGCATGCAGCACACCTTTCCATTGGTGCAGAAGGCACCCATGCCTCACACTTCCGCAGATATGTGAGAGACGGAGACGTCCATCTTCACTTCCTTCAGGGTTTCGTAATGCACAAAGCGTGCTGAGTACTTCAATTCACACTCCTTTTCACTGTCGCCGAAAAATAACAAGAGAGCACCCACCCAGTCTGAATTATTTAGCTCATTTTTGGACTATATATTGTACAGTGTGTTTACTGTATTTGCTGCAGCAATTGAACAGGCTGACAGGTAGATGCAGGGCTCTATACCGAGGACCTGAGGCAGGCACTGCTGAAATACGCAGAAAATTGACTGTGTTTTCTTATTACCAGTGACTGGTGCTGAAAAAAGAGGGAAGAGAAGGCAGGAGACCCTCATCAGCAAGTGAATATGTGTTTTTACATGTTACTTTAGCTTGAAAAACAATAACGGTGTATTGAAAATGTTTAAAGCTTCCAAAAATGTTGAAGCCTTCTAAAAATAGGAACATCAGACCTCTTTGCTGTGAATAAATTTAATTTAGGAGATTTCAGGAACAGAAAGTCTAGATCAATTGAAACAGTATAATGTGCATTATTAACTAATTAATAATCATGTATTACTAACAGCTCTTCCAGTAAGCAAATAGGACAGGACATACATTGTATCAGCAGTGCACAGGTATTTATACAGTACACACTCAAG